TCGTAAAAGGCGAGCCAGTCCTCCACGTCAGTGCCATCAGCGTCAGTGAAGATGGGTGGATCGCGGATTCTGGGGGCACCAGGACAAGGGGGTGGCATTGGAGGAGGCGTTTTCTGAGAAGCGTCGTGGTACATAGTAGATGGCAGGGTACATGATCGTAGCTCCAAAGGCATAGACAGGGATCGCAGCACTCTCCACCAAATTGTTAAGGCGTTTATTAGCCGGCAACGAGCGAGAATATACAATGGCGACAGTCACAGCCAAGCACGGGCTCTCAGCGCGAGCGGCGTCCTTGTTGGGTAGCCCCACTAGAAGGTACTCAAGAGTTCGACCCATTTCAGAGTTCTGAGGCTTCGCTACAGTTTGAATATTTTAAGGACTTGAATAATCACACTATTTTACGAACAAATATTCATGAACATAGAATATTGGAGGAATATTCCAGTTAGTTCGAATACGAATATTACAAATGCAATGTTCGCCGAATATTTGAAACTTTCGAATATTCGCGCACCCCTAGACATTACACAAAACATGACTGCCAGTGGCATAGCCGGGGGGGGGGGGGGGGTGCCCGCCTCCCCCCACCTGCGAAATTTTTTTTTGCCATTGCATATATAGCACAAATTGACCTTTTGCCTGCCCACCCCCGCATCGGATCAAGGTGCAACCCCCTCTTTTTTTTAAATTTCTGGCTACACCCCTGGCAACAGCAAAAGCCAGTCGAGAATGTCCTTATAATTGCTATCCCATTTAAAACAAAATGAATTTTGCCTTTGAGTTGTCTTAGGCGTATGCATAAGGTACCCTGTGAGATTTTTTTTTATGCGCTGCTTTCTAGATGACACAGTGTGGGGTTTTTAGAGTATAGACAGATCGCCGTAGCCACATAGTTATTGCTGCAATAGGAAAATGAAGTTTGTTAAATTGTGTAGCTTTAGCACAGAGATGACTGCCAGAGAAGGTGGGCTTTTTGTGACTATAGATGAATGGCCTCATATTACTCCCAGCAGTCTTATCAGTTGTGAAGAAAAAAAATTTTTTTTTTTATTCATGAAGTCATCTTACAGAAATGCACTTAGGACTGTGCGAGTCTGTAGCCTTGCGCGTCGTTTATCTACCATATCTGCTGATAACCACATAGGTTTATTAATATTGTGATTCCATGAAGCACAATTTTATCCAACGAGTATTCTGTTTATTTCCTTCAGAAATAACCACTGAACAAGTTTTTCCAGAATGCTAAACAGCGTGACGTCATTATTTTTGCATCATAAACTGAAATAGGGAGTGCTGCTAAGATGATTGGCTCCATGAAATTCGCAATGAATCTAAATATTTTTAGCTGTTCACAAGAGCCTCAGAATAATTTTTCATCACCTTGAATGTAAATGCACCTTGCTTCTCCATCAGGATTTGAAGTTAGCTGCTCCATCGGTGAAGCGCGTCAACAATTGCCGTAGAATATTCCAGCGTTATCGCTAGCTCCAGATTAATCAGTAGTGTTCGCATTGTGTGCACAACTTAAACAAATGGTCTACTGCAGTCTTGAAGCTTGTTGAACAGTGCTGGTGTGGTTTGCACTGAACATTACTTAGAGCGTAACGGGGCGATAACAAAGCTTGAGGAAGGAATATGGCAATATGTAGTATACAAAGTATAGTACTAACAAAAAGGACTTCGAACGACGTGTTTTAAATGCACTACCACTCTTTCTTATGTAGTGAATTCAGTTGGCTTGTATTGCCCCATAGCAAAACAATGCAATGGTGGCACTAAACTTCAAAAATGTTTTTCTCCACTAAAACAAGAATGACTTCGATTGAACTTTCTATGAACAAAGACGCTACGATTCCTAATCGTACGCGCTTTTCTCCTGATTTTTTTTTTTGGACCACCTTAGGGTGCTACAGACGTCTCAACTTAGACCAAAAGTGGCATTTTTGCCACGTTCAGGACTTCATTTTAGAACCTCTACACCACACATCGGCAAAACAAAAATATTTGTAAATAGTACATTTTATGGAGAGCTTGATAGAAGTAATTTGTGCATCTTATCTATGGGCTAGTTTTGGAGAAAAATTTTTAAAAGCATTACAATTTACTGTGTTCTGTCTGTGCTCTAAGAATGAAAATGTTCAAGCTATTACGAGCAACTATTCGATAATAGAAGCATGTTGCTCTGAAAACACAAAAAAGCAAGTATTGAAAGAATGCATGAAACAGTCCATTTATAGCATATTTTTTTATTCATACCTAGCTTTCCACCACTTTTATGAATTTCAAATGGTGGTCATGGACCCAAGAAATTTTTGTCGCTCAAAATATCTCAGGAAAACACTTTAGTGTGCAATGTTGTCAGACTACTTGTTTCAAATTAATTTTTGGAGAGCACCGTAGTTTAGAGAGTTGGCGTGGAATGACCCATAAAGAAAGTCACTCATACCCTAATTGTCCCTTTTGCAGTGTCTTTGTAAACATTGTTTAATATCGCAGTAGTCGCTGAGTCATTTTTCTGGAGCATGAAACATCATTTCACAGCCGCCCACGGTATGTTTCAATCCCCTATCATGAAAAAAGTGCCACGCACGCAGAACTGCTTTCACACACACAAAAAAAAAATGGATGTATTCCAAGAAAACTTTCCCAAGAGAGGCAACTGGAAGCAATTTACTTGAAAGGGTCTTGCAAGGCTTGCCTAGCGGGATTATTGCATACTCAGATCAAATTGCCTAGAATAGCATGATTCCAGTTAGTTTTGGTACTCTCTCCGATTTAAATTTATTTTATTTTACATATTTATTAACCTGCAATTGGTATGCTATTTTTTTCAATATCATTTGTGTATGTTGCTGTGTTAGTCTTCATTGTGTAATGTTTTTACTATGCTGCAGCTGCGTTGCATGAGTCAGTTCCTGTTTTCATTATGTAATAACTGGAGAGTGGGTATTCTGTTGTATTCATCTTCAAAAGTCGAACTTTTCTACACGATTACATGAAGAACTTTTCTACACGATTACATGAATAACAGTAGATCCAAGTGTTGTGTTTATGTAAATTGCTCTGGTAGTTGCAGAATTCGACATGGAGTATTAGCCCCCGCTCTTGCTTTAACAGGTTTATCCTTTTCACTACATATTTAGTTGTATGTGTGGTAGTCGGCCAAGTGTTGCTGAACTTTTACATATCAGTTTCATTTAAAATCCAGTGACAAAGCAGCACTTCGAATATTGTAGTCACTGCTACATTTCAATTGTCAGTTACAAGATGTCTCTATCGCTATAGTGGTTACTGTACGTAAGGTTATCTCACTTCACATAGTTTTAGTATGTTTGTTAAAAATAATTGTAATGTAGCTTTCTTAAGTTTGTGAAAATTCGTTCAAAATGAAATGTGGAATGCTCAAGCTGTTTTCGAAATTTATGCCTGACTCTTAGTAAACTGGTATTCAATTTGTATTTGAGATTTGGTATTAGACTCCCTCACCCTTCAATTTCTATGCAATCTACTTTCTTCATTTGTATGTCTTATTCAAGCCTGTATCTCCAGGTGGGCATTAACATTACAACACTGTTTTCTAAGGTATGGGGGGAAAGAACATAAATGTAATAAAAATGACATAATTGACTGGTGTGTTTATACAGATCATTTATATCGCTATATCTTAAGCTTGAAAGTAACTACCATATTTACTCGCGTAATCCTCGCACTCTCATAATTCTTGCACCCCTGACATCGCCCGCCAAAAATTCGATTTCATTTTTTTCTCGGGTAATTATTGTAACCCTGAAAATTGCTGCAATAATGCTGTCTGCTCGTTCCAGCCACTGATGATGATAGTGTGCACCGTCTGGCGCCATCTCCTAAGCATAGAGTGTACTATTTCACAGAAATTCAATTCAATCCAATCCAAGCCATAGTGGCACGTGCGCATTGCAGCGTGATTGGTATGTTGTGTCTGTAATCTTGTTACGTTATGAGGCGATGCGAAAGCTAAACGGCTGCTTTCAAGTTGGAAGTGATTGATTGTGCACTAAACAATGGCAACAGGGCCGCCGGTAGATTCTTTGGAGTAGACAAGTTATGTGTTCGCTACTGGTGATGACAGCTGAAAGCCACCAAGACGTGTTGGGCCTTCCGTGTGCCTAAGACTGGGATTGATGGTAAACTTTATTTCTTCAGAAGGCAACTGCGGACGATTCTGTTAAATGGCCATCAGCCCAATACTGACGTCCTTCACTTACCTTTTGCGGACTCCTGTTGAGCTATGGATGCTACCACTACGCCCGCAGCGCCCACAAGTTTTGCGTACGGTATTCTAATTCTCGACTATTTGATTGCGCCTTTTGTGTCTCAAATAAATTTTGCCTTGTGTTGAACCTGTGCTCTTATTGTTGAGGTAAATCTTAATTAGTACTTCTCAAAGCTTGCTGTTAGTTGCTAACGTGAGAATCACGACTTGTGGCCTTTTCGTTTTCTTTTTCGCTCTGTACATATTCATGGAAAGTTTTCCCCACGTAATTCTCGCATCCCCAAAATTTGCATCGGTTTCGTCAAAAAAAGTGCGATGATTATGTGAGTAAATACGGTATAGTTTGCATGTTACAATTTTGAATCAGACAGCAGGCAACATGTCATGAAATATCTGGGTTAGTGAAGGTATATCTCGAATGGCCAGAGAAATTTGCCATCAACAATGGTGGCATTAGTTTTTCTTCTTCATTCAATGTGAAAATTTAAGACAAGTTTGGCCACAGTAGAGCTGGCAATTCCAATATGGAAGACAGCATCTTAAGAGGTGGCAGTTCTGGTGAATTCTGTGCCTGAGTATCGGAAAACAATTTTGTTTGTATGCTCACATGTGCGACATTGAGCATCACCTACATGCTTGCGTGTACCCTCTAAATGTAACATTCATTGTGCTGTCTTTTATATGATTACTGGATGCTCATATTTAGTGTATCTTATCATGCTTTCTATCTTTTCTTTGTTGTTCACAGTTATGAATTTGAATACAAGCGAGTTGATCTGCAAGCTCCTTTGACTGGTGTGCCCATTCAGCCTGGCATTTTTAAGGGCACCTATGGTATGCATGGTCTCGAGTTGATCCAGCTAGAGTACATTAACAACTGCACAAAGCTTCGGGCCTGCAAGCTCTCGGTAAAGTTTATTCAAATAATCTTCTAATTTCATATGTGTTTGTGTACATGCATGTATACCTGCCAACTCTCCAAATTTGTTAGGGAAGCTTCGATTTTCTGACCAGTTCTCCTGACTGCACAGATGTGACCATTAATCTCCTGATAAAGCAGCCATCTAATATGAAAACAACAAAAGACAAAAAAAAAAATTGTAGCCGTGCTGTTGGACCCTCCCTCTGACCCACTGATATATGGAGAAGGAAGGCTGCCATGTTTGTGCATGGCCTTGGTTTTTACGATTTAGCATGTTTGTTATCTTTATCTCAATAAGGAACTCCTTGTATCATCACCTTGCATTTTCCGCAAGGTTAGCTTTGCCGCTGTGTGTTATGCAGTGAAGCTTACGAAGTGTGCTGTTTCCAAGATTTCTAATTGGCATATTAACCCTTTCAGAGTCGCTGACATAAATGTACTGTTTTGTGTTATGCAGTGAAGCTTACGAAGTGTGCTGTTGCCAAGATTTCTAATTGGCATATTAACCCTTTCAGAGTCGCTGACATAAATGTACTGTTTTGTAACCAACTCCCAAATAGTCGATGCTGTACATTTATGGCACTATCTGTGTGCTTAAGAAGCACGCCATTTTTTCAGCTCTTTATTTTCCAGCAAGTGTTGTCACCCTAGGTGGTAGGGGATGTGGGGTTTTTTTTTGTTATTGACTCTTGGTTCCAATTTCCAGGTTTGTTTAGGCCAGTGTGTTGGCTATCACTTGTACACCCACACATGCACAGGTGCATAGCTACTGTAAATTTGGCTTTGCCTCACGAATGGTTTCCATTTGTTGCACTCGACCCGTATGTCATGGGTTCAATCCTGGCTACACTGGTCACATTTTGATAGAGGCGAAATGATGGAGATAATTCGATGATTGGTATGTGGGGTTTCATGTCCCAAAACCACCGTATGGTTACGAGAGACGCTGTAGGGAAGGACTCATGAAATTTCGACCACCTGAAAATGGCGGAGGCCTGTGTACTTTCCAATGTCAGTGCACGTTAAAGAACACCAGATGATCAAAATTTCCGAAGCCCTTTACCACGCCTCTCATAATCATGTGATGGTTTCAGGGTGTAAAGCCAGAGATTATTATTTAACCCATTAAAGGTGCCCGCCGACACTTTTGTGACAGCCTTGTTTAACGCGTGTAGCAATGATTGCTGAGATGAGTGCAATAAGTATGATGGAAATTGGTGCACGAAAAGTGAAGTTATGAGTCCTCAAAGTTTAAAACTTGAGCAGACAATGGCTAGAAACGTTCTTTCGCATTTGACTCGCCTCCTGACGTCAAAGGCTACTTCCAATCGCAGCAGGCGTCTGATAGCGACATACCGAAAATGTCACCTCAGGGTGGCCTTCACACAATCCCTCGCTACCGCTCCTTTTGATGGAGTCATTAGCGTGGTTACTGAAAATACATCATTTAGAAACAAGAACGGCTTCTTTCTGAGAAAGTATAAAAAGGTTTTTAGCACTCACTCGTATGGCCTAGCTACCACCATATGAATATTACATGCTATTTGTCATGTCAAGTCAATCAAAAGCTAACGGTCTTTGAATGAAGTCAAGCCATATGACATGATGTCACTACCCATAGTTTGAAATCAAGTTAGTTTGTCCCATAATTAAAATTATTAAAGCGCCGATTTCGGCATTGCCAATTGTGCAATGATATCGGCGCGTTCCACAGCACCAGAAGAACCGATGAATAATACATGCTCAAATAATGTCGCAAGGCACCTCTAAGTGCTTTGGACGAGCACAACTCGTTTTAGCGGAATAGGTATTCCCCTGTTGGGTACAGACGGAAAAGCGCGCGTTTACAGCTTACATTGCATGTCATCCACTAGATGGCAGAATTTTCTAGAAAATTCAGTTTTCTCCTGCAGCAGGAGCGCGGTTTTTGTATGGAAAGTTGGTGTGCTTTGGCGGCGACCCATGCATAGCTACGCCGTGAACATGGAAAAGAAGCTATTAGTTTTTGACATCATCTTTGAGCGATGATGATTAGTGTGCATATATTTACAATCAAATCTTGTTATAGCCGACCTCAGATTAACAATTTTTTCAGATTAACGACTTTATCGAAAATCCCCCTCCATATGTCTGTAGGTTTAATGTAAAAACATTTCACTACTACGAATTTCTGAATACCGAAGGTTTCAGAATAATGTATCGAACTTTACTCCTGTATATCTCCACAATACTTCAAAATAACGAACCGTGATTTTAACTAGTTACATGCAGATGTGGAAATAATGCTTAGCTTCGTACCTGCCACTATAATCATTATCAGAATGCACACGTATTTCTCTATGTGACTGCCCTATTCAAATGGGCAATAGCCCTATCGCCATCATCATTGCCTGGTACTTGTTTTTCGTGTCAGGCTTCGCCTTCTTGCGTTTGTTTTTCTCGGGCAGCTTTACCTGCGCGCTTGTTACACGACTGTTTTCTAGCCTTTTGGTTGGAGGTTGAACGTTCAAGATGAGCTTTAAAGCAGCACGAAAATAATGCTACGAAAATGAAAAATGCGGTGTGAGTGACCTATGCATACCTGCCAAGTCTCCCGGATTACCTGGGAGACTCCCGGGTTTTTGAACGTTTCTCCCGGCTGTACGGCTCATAGGAAAATCTCCTGGAAAACCAGTTTTGCTCCGCGCGTCCATTGCATTTTCTGGCCACATAACAAAAAGGATTCTTCTTTTTTTTTAAATGATGGTAGCAAGGTTTAATGTACGTTTTATACATGCGAAAGATAGCGCCAGAACGTGCCGCCTGCCGAGTAAGAGCAGCGAAATCGCGCATGGCTGCGCAGTTTTGGGGGGGGGGGGGGGGGGGGGTCACGCACATTAGCGAAAAAAGAGAGAAAACTCCATTGTAGTACAGGGAGGGCAGTGAAACCTTGGTACGGCTGTTGCTTTTGCTAGCTGTTGAATGTGCCAGCATTGCAGAAAGTGATGGTGGTCAGACTGCTCACAGTGCTGTGCCACTTCACTACTTTTGGTTCGTTCGCTGTTCAACTGACGGAGGTCGTTTCTGTGCTGCCGCATCTTTTCGTCGAAATTCCTGGTTTCCCGATGCAGGAAGTGGGCAGCTGACCATTCACGGAGCCGTGAGGAGCCCCCGCCACGGCACCGGTTTTCGTGCCAGACAGACAACTGCCGAATGCTTACATTTGGTATTACACGCCAGAGGAGATTGTGGCATACAAGAGAGACCCCACTTCTTCCTCATTTCGCGCTAGTGTTTTCCGAGAATGCCGACTAGGACGTAGTTCGCATTTCCACGGGGGCTGCGTATTTTGCATTGCTGGTGCCGCAGCACAGAGAGAAAAAAAGGAGAGTAAGGAGGGACCCATCCTTTCCGACAGAAGCGCTTGCTTGACGTGACGTGGGTGGGCGAGCGTGGGTTTGCAAATGGGGACGTACGCACAGAGGAATGCGCGGCCCTCTGTGGCTGTTCCATTGTACGGACGCACCAAGGCGCTTAGTTATGTGAGCAGTGGTGGTGCCGCTGTTAAGCTTTGGGGTGGGGGGGAACACATAGTCAGCCCTTTACGTTGACATGATAGGGAGGGGCATGGTGACTCGGGCGCATGAGGGGATGGGATGCTGCCAAGGACCTCCACTTTCCCCCACCTGTACCTGGAAGGGGAACTGCCCATGCTTATGCCCACACCTCACCACACACTTTCTCTACCTTTCCTTCCTTCGTCCACTTTCCCCTCTCCCTTAAGGAGCTAAGCTGAACCATGCTTCCGCAAGGGTTCATAGAATCTAATAGCAGGGCTTTTTCTAAGCCGCTGGTCACGATTAAGCAGCGCTTCTCCTTTTCGCAAGTCAGAACTTTTTTTACATTCTTCTGTTTTTTTAATATGACCGCTTTCTCCTCTCGCTGTCTCTTTTGTCCTCGTCTCCCTTATCGAGCTCTCCTCCCCCATATCGTTACCTTTTCCTCCAACATTTTTGCTCTTTGCTCTTTTTTTTTACTCATCGGCAAGGGTCGCCGACAAGAGTGCCTGGTTTTTGTGTTTTTGTTTTTTTCTTTTTACGCGTCCCGGCTACGAGTGGCGAAGGCCGAGCTGGGTAAAGGAGAGTGGTCTGCAGGACTGTATTTCATTTCTTTTGTTGTTCTCACGTCTCGCTACACCTGTAAGCTTACAATGGGGCTTGAAATTGGTGCAGTATGACGATGGTTATAGCGCGAGAACAGAACGATGACAGAGACAAGAAGGACACGTGCACTAACTTCCAACTGAGTTTAGTGCGCAGAGCGCAGAAACATGTAGAGGAGACAGTAAACCATGTGGCACAAAGAGCAATACATGATTAAGGGAAAAAAAAAGCATAGAAAAAGGCAAAGAAAAGTCTATAAGGAAACGAAACAGAAGAGTAAAAGTAATATTTATTTATTTATTTATTTATTTATTTAATACATACTGCGGACATGTAGAGGAGACAGTAAACCATGTGGCACAAAGAGCAATACATGATTAAGGGAAAAAAAAAGCATAGAAAAAGGCAAAGAAAAGTCTATAAGGAAACGAAACAGAAGAGTAAAAGTAATATTTATTTATTTATTTATTTATTTAATACATACTGCGGACCACACTTCGGTCCAAGCAGGAGGGCATGGTGTAATGCAAAGAGAAATACAATACACGCAAAACAAAACAAAAAAACAGTGCACAGTTACTCAGTATCGCAAGTACTACATTCGATTGTCTGGTTCCAGTCTGAAATGGTGCGTGGAAAAAACGAAAATTTGAACGTGTCCATTCTTGCGAAGTACGGAGTTAGTGCATTTGGTTGGCGATGTCTTGTCGGTCTTGTGTTTAATGGAGAAAGAAAAGGGGTTGGATCAAGGGAAAGTTTGCGATTATATAAAAGAGACAGAAAATCAAGGCGGGACTTCTTTCTATGATCCTGAAGGGAAGGAATATTATTAGCTAGCATTAGG